CCTACCCACCTACCTACCTACCTTACCTACCTACCCTACCTACCTACCTGCCTGCCTGCCTGCCTGCCTCCCTGCCTGCCTGCCTGCCTACCTACCTACCTACCTACCTACCTCCTACCTACCTACCGACCTACCCACCTACCTACCCACCTACCTACCTACCTACCTACCTACCTACCTCCTGCCTGCCCACACGGACTCGTTGTTTGTCCGCTTGTCTCTCTGTCCAGCTATCTATCTACCTACCTACCTACTTACCTACCTGCCTACCTACCCACTCACCCACCATGCCACCATCCCACCTACCCACCTACCCACCTACCTACCTCCTGCCCTTGTTTATTCTAACTATCCATCTATCCATCTATCTACCTACCTACCTACTTACCTACCTGCCTACCTGCCCACCTACCCACCCACCTGCCTGCCTACCTGCCTAGCTCGATCAATCTGTCTATCCATCCAAAGGCCTATAAGCCGCTTAGCCCGCCCACCCCGACCCGGAACCATGCAAACCCTCATGCAATGATAAGACGCTCTTCTACAAACCTTAATTTGTAGGGAGCGCATTAGGGCGCCCTGATCATAAGGCACCCGTAAGAAATTTTGAATCACTGAGTACGGACCCGCCTTGAAGCGGTCTGAAGGCGTCATCCGTGTGAGGTATGGGTAGCGCGTCCGGTCGCTGAGGCTGGGGGATTCACAGCCAGGCGAAACCTTGGGCAGAATTAAAGCTTTTGGAGGTTTGACCCAAAATAAGATTGGTTTGTCTTATAATGCCTATAAGGTGTATCGGGCTTAGAGCTCAGGGTTTTGTGGCGTTTGGACTCCAGATCACGGGTTTCGGCTCTCACAGCTTGAGTCAGGCTCTCAGGCTCCAAGGACAGGTTTGAGGTCCGGTGTTTGGAGTTTAGGGAAGGGTCTTTCTTCGGGTTTGCCATGGACAGCAAGCAGAGGCACACATGCTTCCATGAACTTACACATATTCATAGGCACATGCTTTTCGATACGGGCAACAGCTTGGAAATGCGTATCACGATAACAAACAGGCCAAACATCTAGTCTAGTCTACTAAAAGGTGAAGCTGACGGAAGACACACGCTGCCACCACCGCTTCCACCTCCACCTCCACGACGATTCATTGCTCTGCTCAAGTAAGATCTTGAGGTTAACCCCAAACCCTAAACCTGAAACCCTCACCCTCCAGATGGGTCCGCACAAACCATTTTTTGCTTCGCTTCCCAAAGCCCATAAACTAGCCATAGGCCCCTAAGTAGTTCCTTTTTGTGGTCCATACTTAGGATCCTATAAGGTATATCCCCAAAACGGGCTACTATGGAGCCTATGGGTATATAGTCCCTAAACCCTAAACCCCTAAACCCTAAACCCAAAAAGGAACTACTATGGGGCCTATGGGTAGCCGGCCTGTAGGACGTTGAAGAGACGCGCCGCATCGCTGACAGCAGCGCACGCTTGACTGCATGCGTCCCCGAGGATGGCATGTTTCCTGGGGGATTCTGCATTTGGGGTTGAAACAGGATTTAGGGTGGTGTTGCCTGAACCCTACCTATAGGCTTTTTTAGGAGCCTTAATATAGAATTGGTTATACCAGAAGAAGGAACTACAATGGAGACTCTAGGTAAGCCCTGTTAGGTAAAATATTCGGGCTGCTGCTCCTGCTCCTTGTCCCGCTCCCACTCCTACTCCTCCTGCTACCCCTCGTCCTTCTCCCAACTCCGAGTCGGACTCCTACAGTACTACCACTACTGCTGCTGCAACTAATTCTGCTACTACCTATATATACTTGCAGCATAGCCAGGTATCGTAGCTCCACGCGTCATGGCTTCCACGGTGGCCATGGTACCCAATGCCTGGCCGGAAAGAGCTAACACTCAGGGCCCTTTGCTTCGAGGCACAAACTGAATGAGCTATACCTACTCGTCCAGTATCGTGGGGGAACGACAGGTTAACTCTTAAATTCTAGTACGCCCAAAAAAAGGTAGAAAGTCACCTACTTTACTACTAAGTAAATTTGGGCTATACGTGCAGCTACACATCTCGAATGCACAAGGTTTTAGGTTTAGGGTTCACGGAATAAGATTCGGCTTTGGCAACAAGGCTTAACACGTGCGAACCGCGGGTGATCTCAGTTTTCCAGTCCTAGATTGTCGCCTTTGTTGGTCTAGGCTAGGCGGGGTGTCACCGCAGGCCATCCAGCACCTCATTTTGTTGCCAGGGTTTTCTGTAAGCATTGCTGGGGTCTTCCGGTTCTATTGCACTTAGCTGCTGGGACCATCGCCTTTGCCTTGCTGTTGGTCCGAAACCTCATCGGCATGGAGTTTTTAGGGCTCTGCCAAAAGCTCGGGTTATGGCAAAGCCATCGCCTCTGAACAGCCCGAGTCCGTCAGGTGGACGTTGACGCGGTAGCCCGGCAAGAAGCCGCTGTCCTTGCAAAGCTCCCACTCCTACTCCTCCTGTGCTACTGCTACCATAACCCTAAACCCTAAACCCATACCGCTACTACCACGACTACTACGACGACGACTACTACTGGTGTCAGGGTTTCAGGGTTCAAGGCCGTGGAGGGCAACCCCGGATCCCCAAACTCCCGCACTTTGTTTGGGGTTCTATAAGTTTTGCAGACAAGCAATAACAGTACCAATAACAATGCTAACAACAGCAACCATAACAAGAACACCATAGTACCCATCATAATAAGCACCACAATAATCACAGCAATAAGACTCATACTAATAAGAACGGCAGTACTGCATGCAGACCTGGAGCCCCGAAACCACTTCTCCCCACGGCCCGTCCTCAATCTCCTGCGCTGCCATCGCAAGCAGCGGTTCCGCCTGCGTCATCTTGTCGCCAATGCTTCCGAAATAGGGGGCGATGACCTCTGCTTTGAGGCGAGATGCCGGCCGGGGGTGCGTGGTTTAGGGAGTAGGATTGCGATTTCTAGGGCTTACTGGGTGCACTGAACTCAGTAAAGGTGAAGCCTCGGACGTCCAAGCCGCATCATTGCCGAAACTTGTTTCATCTCATACCCCATCTAGAAAATACCTCCACCCATCAGTCCGTGCACGCATAAGACAAACTCACATGCCGGCGCCAAGCTGCCACGATGTTGATGTCTTCCACCGCCGTCCGGCTCGGATTGTTAACCACATCAATGGTGCAATTGCCATTCTTGTAGTATCCTCAGGTTGTGATCGAAGGACCCATAAAAAAGCACCCAGAACCTTGTGAAGCCAATATCCCCAAGGAGTGGGTTTGCGCCTGAGCAGAGCCTGTTTTCCTGGCTTTTTGGTCCATGATGCAGGACTGCAAGAGCTCCGAGTAAAAATCGGGAGGCAGCCAATGTGGCTTGGAGGCTCAACTTTCGCTGCGTCGCAGAGGGCTTCGACTCTCTCGCTCGGCACCGGCAGGCAAGCAAGCAGACAACCAGGCACCCCAAGGGTGCTAAGACCTATCGCCCTCTCGCTGCGAGACTCGCAACAGCACCAAGACCCCAAACCCCAAAACCCTAAAATCCTCTGGACCAGACCAAACGGGCTAAGCCCCGAACCCCTGAACCCGCAACCCTTTTGTAACCAGGCCTTGAGTGGTCATCTTGATCCCCACAAAATCTCCATAGAAGGTGCTCAGCCCGAAACCCTAAACCCTGCTGGTAGACTTTCGGATAAAGACAGAAGTGGCCGCCCGACTGCTTTACCGACTGCCCCCTCCGCGGCGAGCTGAGAGCTAGGGCAGGGTAGGGGGGTTTAGGGCTTAGGGCTTAGGGGCTTTGAGATTCCATGGCCCCTGGAACCCCTCGTCATGAAGCCCTGGCGACTGTAAAGCCCAGCACGACATATGTACTCTAGCCATGCAGCCATTCATTTTGGCAGCCCGATGAACCTAAACCCTTGCACACAAAAATCGGCTCCCTTTTCCGGTCTCTGTCTCTCTCTCGCGCTCGCTCGTTGCAACCAAAAACATGACCCCTCAACTCGCAAAAGACGTCAAGTCTTCAGCCTTCGGCTTCGACCCTGATCACGGCACCCAAAGACAGGAAAAACGAGGCTTCACGCATACAAGGATGGGAAGGACCCCCAAAACCATAATAAAGATGGCCAAAGGCCTAATTGCAGAATGGTGGTATATATGGACCCCCTAAACCCTAGACACCCCTTTTTGGGCAGGGACTGCAATGCACTAAGCCCTGAAACCCTAAACCCCGCTTTTTCGGGCCACATGGGTTTCGCTAAGAGGACGAGACGCTGCAAGGCCACTGCTCTCCCGTGGAAGCGGTGCAGGTTTCAGGGCACCTCGGGTGCGGCTCTAAATCAATTTTGGCTCGGTTTAGGGTTTAGGGGTTTAGGGGTTTAGGGGTTTAGGGTTTAGGGGTTTAAGGAGTTCAGGGTTTTCAGGTGTTGTAGGGTTTAGGGTTTTTTTGTTTGTTTTTTAAGGGCCTTTCTCGTCTCCTGCGATCCGAAGCGTTTCGGGTTTAGGGCTACAAAAGGGGGTTAGAAGTTAAGTACTTGGGTAGCTCTCAAAATTAAGGTCCCTTTTGGTGTACTTTTTTTGATTTCATAAGGGTGCCGTACTATGTTAGGGACCAAAGAAGGGACTCTAATTTAGAGAACGACCCACTTACCTACTAAGGGATTTATGGAGTTGGGGCACCGGTCCCGAGGCCTCATGACCTAACACATTTGTGCTGAGAGGATGTAATTTGACGTCTGGGGCATTTTGAGCCGTACCTACAGGGCCTAATCAGATATTGAAGGCCGAACCTAGGCTCTAGACCCCAGCTCCCAAAAGCCCTTTTCGGCGAAACCCATCTCAACATCCTAAACCTTATGAGGCGACAAGGGAGGTCACCCCTTAAGGAAACAACTTCTCTTGAAGCCTCAGCCCTAAGCCCTAGACTAAAAACCCCTATGAAAAAAAAGCCTAAGCTCGAAAAAAGTCCTAAACACCAGATTCCCGAGCTTCGTCCTCACAAACCCTTGCTCGAACCTCTGTAAACAAGCGCGTCGCCCCCCTGTAGTAACCCTCCTTTAGCAACAAACTCATAACAACCCTCACCATGTCCCCCAAACTGAACCCAAAGATCCCCCAAACTCTCGCGGCGAGATGCAGGGCTGCCAGGCCAGGGAAGAAAGCTGCCCAAATGAAGAGCAGCTGCTGGCAGGACCTCTGCTCCATGAGAACCAGCCTCGGTTTAGGGGTTATAGGCTCTTTTTTTCGGCTCCTTTACTGGCATTTCTACACTCCTAAGCAGGGTTTAGCATCTAGGGCGTAGGGGGTGGGGCCGACCTGTCAAGGGATTCTGTGTGGGTTTTTGGGAGGGCGCTTTGGGGGATTGATGCGGCTGAGGTGTGACTTTCAAGAGCTTTGAACAGGGACTCGGGCTAGGGTAAACCCGAAAGAGTTGGGGGACTCGAAATTGCATGAGTAGGGCAGATAGTCCATATGATTCACTTCTGCAGCATGGACAGAAAAAGGTTTCAACTTTATCGCTTCTACAGTACATGTTCAGGTTCGTGGTACGCCATCATCGTGGAGCGCAAAGGTGTGTAATACTTAATCAGGCTTATGTGCTTTCGTACAAAGTCAGCTTCACTGCTTCCGGACATGGAAAGTCCTCACACCGCACTGGAAAAAAGAGGGGGGGGTGCCCAAAGTGGTAGGAAGACAAGAAGTACGCTAATCACCGCACAGATCCCTGCAACCTCAATCCGAAAAAAGCAACAGACATTCCTCGGTCGGCGATGCTTGAAGCAAAGACAAGACACTTAACACCAATGATAGTAGTAGTGAAGGTGGCGACGATGGTCTAGGGCGACCCATCTGACCCATAAACCCCTAAATCCCTAAACCCTAAAACCCTAAAGCCCTAAACCCTAAACCCCTAAACCCCTAAACCCTAAACCGGAAAAAAACCATCAACTCGGCCTGGTGACTCCGTCCGCAGCCCTTACCCACGACGGGAAGCAGGGCGATTCTGAAGCCAACTTTCCAGTGGCGAATTTAGGGTTTAGGGTTTGGGGTTAAGGGTTTCGTCCAGAGAAGGCCTTTCAGGTTTGGATCCTTCTAGCTTCGGCCTGGAGCTTTGATTCGGATGCAAGCGCTAATTAAGGCTCTTCGTGTTTCAGGCGTTTGGCTGTAATAGGTGTCTGCGGCTAAACCACCCTAACCCCTGCACACTTCAGCCCATTTCGACGCTCGTACAACACGTGAACTACTCCACCCCCCTAACCGTAACCCTCAACCGCCCTAGACCTCCTGAAAACACCCTAAGCCCCAAACCCTCGATGACCTGTCCCAAAATCTTAACCCTAAACCCTAAGCCCTAAAACCCTAAAACCCTTTTTGCATCCAGGACTCTCGCAACCAAAACCCCAAAACCCTAAACCCTAAAACAGTAAACCTATAAAGCCTAAACCCTAAAACCCTACCCCCGTAACCCTCTGACTTCCTCTTTCTTGCTATGACTGGAGATCGCTGCACCCGGCTCGGCCGGGTAGTCCCCGGGCAGCTGCGGAGAAGTGCTTGCAGACGTGTGGAGGCTCTAACTTCCCTTCCGACTTGTCCAGTATTTCCTAGGGGATCCAAAGGTTAACCTACCCATAGGCTCCTTAGCAGTTCCTTTTTGGGATTGCCTTATAGGATTCTAAATATGAACCATAAAAAGGAACTACTTAGGAGCCTATGGGTAATTCGCATCATGTAGAGATTATGGTACCCCCCCCCCCAAA